ACCTCTGGGCCAGGAGTGGTGGGAGGGATGGTGGCCTGGAAGCCCCTTCCTCTGGGCCAGGAGCAGCAGGACAGAAGGTGGCCCAAAAGCCCTTTCCTCTGGGCCAGGAGCAGCAGAAGGGATGGTGACTGGGAAGCCCCTTCCTCTGGACCAGGAGCAATGGAACAGTGGCTCAGAAGCCCCTACCTCTGCACCAGGAACAGCAGGACTCAGTACCTTGGTCCGGTGGTCTGGTGTCCTCTGCATCTTTGTAGTGTGGAACCAGGTGGCTACCTGTCTGCAGCGGGGTGATTCGGTGTCTTCCGTGTGACTCGGGACCTAGGTAGGGCATGCACAGACCTGCCTGTATGCAGCGGGCTGATTCAGCATGTTCAGTGGGACTGGGGACCTCGGCAGGGTGTGGGCAGACCTGCTTGTCTGCAGGGGGCTGATTCAGTGCATTCCGCGCGACTCAGGACCTTGGTAGGGCATGCGCAGACCTGCCTGTCTGCAGTGTGGAACCAGGTGGCTGCCTGTCTGCAGTGCGGTGATTCAGCATCTTCTGCACGTGACTAGGGCCAGTCTATTTCTTTTGATTGGTGAATTGAGGCCATTAACATTGATGGCTATAATTGATAGATATTGCTTCATCCTTGTCATGATGTTTACTGTTGTTGGCTCTTTTAGTTCTTATTTTTCCCCCTTTCCCTTTACTTTCTTACCTTGCCTGGTGGCTTCCCTCTGTTGAGGCTCATGGAGTTGTGAACTTCATTGCCATTTTCTAGGATATTGTTTAGAATTGTTTGGAGTGCTGGTTTGCTGTTCACGAAATTTCTCAGGTGTTCTTGGTCTTGGAAGTATCTAATTTCCCCATCGATTTTGAAAGATAATTTTGCAGGATACAACAGTCTAGGTTGGAAGTTATTTTCATTTAGGGCTTGAAATACTTCACTCCAGGTTCTCCTTGACTTTAGCATTTGTGTTTAGAAGTCTGCTGTGATTTTGATGGGATTTCCTTTGTGGGTGATTTGTTTCTTTTCTCTGCTTGTCAGATTTTGTTCTTCTGTTGGGTTTCTGGGATCTTGACTATTATATGTCTAGGTGTAGTTTTTTTTGATCATGGCTAGTTCGAGTTCTATATGCCTCACTTATCTGTATGTCCAATTCTCTACCTCTGTCTGGGAAATTTTCTACTATTACTTCTGTGAACAGTTTTTTGTTTTGTTTTGTTTTGTTTTTGGTACCGGGGATTGAACTCAGGAACTTGCGCTTTCAAGGCAGGCGCCAGAACCACTGAGCTAAATCCCCGGCCCAATGTGAACAGTTTTTTATGTCAATTGTACTTTCTCCTGTTTCTTCGTGGACTCCTATCAGTCTTATGTTATTCTTCTTTGCATCATCTAGTAGCTACTGGACTGATTTCTTGTGGTCCCTTACTATTTTTAAGAAATCTCTGTCTTCATGGTCACTAACCACAATCTTGTCTTCTATATTTGATATTCTATCTGCATATTCCCTTAACCTGCTGTTCATACTTTCAATGGAGTTTTTAATCTCCTGAATATCTATTTGAATCTGTCTCATGGGTTCCATTTCTTTCTTATGTTGGGCGATCATGGTTTCCATTTGTTTCTTATGCTGGGCATTCATGGCTTCCAGGATGTTTCTGAGCTCATCTACTTTTTTATCTGTTTCTGTTCTAGAGCCTGTAGTCATGTCTTTCACTCTGCTCACCATCTCTGCAGTTATCTGGGAGATTATTTCTGCTTGGAATTTTTCTAGAGCCTCATTCATCTGTTTTGTTACTTCCTGTGCTATCAGTTCAGGGTGTCCAGGTGGTTGATTATCAGACTTTTTGCGCCTCATTCCCCCCAGAATTTGCCTTTTGTGGGGTGGAAATCTGAGTTTGTGCCTTGCTTAAATGTCTTCTCATTTTTGTTTTTGGTACTGTCCTTGGTTTAATTCCGGGGTTGATACTTTGAAGTTGCTTATTATAAGTATCTTTGTTGCTTGTATTTAGAACCCTTATGGAATGATTGCTTCTCAGAAGTGTCTTCCAGATATAGCTGGTCTTTAGGTTTTGAATTTCTAATGGCTCTGTGGTGATCTCATTTTCATTATACCAGGAAGGACAACTGATTGGATCAATCACAACACCTTAGCCCAAGTGATACAATCAGCCACACCATAGCATCAAGTACATCTTAGAAAATGAAAATTTGTCATAGTTATTAATCTATCACTTTTAACTGTGTGAATTAAATCACAATCAAGGACCAACCCAACTTATATTTATAGTGAATAAACTCTTCAATATAGCAACTTTACCCTTTGGGGTGGGGAGTTAGAAGGAGTTGGAGAGGGAGGGATAGGTAGGTAGAAGGATAGGGGAAGGTTAGCAATGAGGCCAGAGGACACAGGCAAGAGACGGAAAAAGAGAAGAAAAGAAAAATAAAGAAGAAATGTGATTTAGGCCAAGAACAGGAACACAAAGGGAGATGAAGAACAATGTGGGACAGCAAGGGAACAAGTGAGAGGGAGAGAGAAAGGAAAGAGAAAAGAAAGAAAAAAGAGAAAAATAAAAATTTGAAAAGAGTAGAAAAATAAAAAATTAAAATTAAAAATAAGAGCAAAAAATACTAATAATAATTTTGAAAATAACAAATAAAAGATAAAAAGGGAGGGCTTCCTTCAGGGTATGTGTCTGCTGTCACAATAGACAATGTGGGCAGCAGTGTGCAGATATAAGTCAATGAGTCTCAGCAAGCCAGTCGCAGACCTGTGAAATTCAGGCAGATTTCTGCCTGCAAGTCCCAAGTTGAGCTCCCTGTCCTCCTGCAGGGTTGAACTCTGTTAGACTCTACTGCATGTTCCAGCTGCCTTTCCCCTGAAGATACTCCAGGTTCCGATGGGAGGTGATGATCCCTCCAACTTACCAAGTACGGTGGTCTGGTGTGCCTTTATTTCCAAGATTCTCTTCACTTTTACAGTCAGCTTTAGTTTTCATGAAGGAGCCTGAGAGAGGCCCTCTATCTGTTGTTCACTTCTGCAGCTCAGGACAATGGCCCTTATGCCCCCTGTGCCTCTGTAGTGTGGAACCAGGTAGCGACACAACCAGGAGGCCAGGGGTGGGGGGTGGTTTCCAGGAGCCCAAGCACTAAGCTGGTGGCTGGTGGGCTTGCTGAGTGGTCCTCACCATCTCGCTGGTTGCAGGTGGGTGTGACGAGTCGGCCAAAGTGGGGTCCAGCCGGCCAAGGACCTCTCCAACATTACATTCTTGAGGGAAAAAGTGTAAATCAGAAGACAATATTGTCACCAGAAATTTTCTTTTAAACAAAGGGGATCATCTCCAGGATCTGCCTATCCCTGGCCATGGCTCTAAACCTGACATTCTAGGTGGCTGTTTCTATGTACTTTTCTCTAAGACTCCAGGCAATATAGTGACCTGTACTGGAATTATGCAGTTGTGTACAGCTGAACTTTCAACATCACTAACTGGGTGCATCCAAGCTAAAAGCCTCAGAGCATTGCAGTCTTCCCACCAAGTACCTCCCTTTGTCCTGAACCCCAGTGCATGAGGAAATCCTTGTTCTGGGGCCCCTCTGAGCTAGTAAGGGGACAGAATCCTCTGGTCCAGCCAATAAACATGAGTGAGTTGGCAGGGCAGCAGAGTCTTTTCTCACACATAGATGAATAACTGGGAATTCTGCAGTATAAGGTGGTTATCTTTACATACCAACTATTCCAAAAGTCAGTGGCCTAAAACAACCTGCACTGATTATTGCATACAACTCTACAGGTCAGCCGGATGGTTCTACTGATCTAGGCCAGGCATGGCTGGGATTGTTCACGTGGTCTACAATCTGCTGGTAGGTCAGCTGAGGGCTGTGTGGTTCACTCATGTGGCTAATGTTCATTAGTTTCTAGAAACTGGCTGGCTGCTGGCTGGGGTAGCAGGGGTGACTCGACATCCAGTAAAGTAAGCTAGTCAGAACTTGTTCATATGACAGCAAAGATCTGAAGAAGCGGAAGTGTACCTGCTCTCTTGAAGCCTGGGTTTGAACTGGAATACCACCACTGTCACCTCATTCAATTTGCCAAACCAAATCACAAGATCAACCAAATTTAAGGGGTGGGGAAACAGGCTCCAGCCCTCCATAGAAACAGTTATAGGATCACATTGATAAAGGCATGAATTAGGGAGTTGAGAAATGGGGCCACTTTTGGAATCTATCTTCCACTTCACCCTTTGAGTGTTTCTTCTGTATGTGTTGCTGGCTGAGCACTGAATATCTGAATTCTCAAAATCCAACTCTGGAGCTGTAGAAAATTCCCCAAGGTAAATGCCACCCTCTGCTTCTTTGCTAAACAGAATTCACATATCACTACATGCTTTCTTTAAAACTGCAACTAATATTAAATTGAACAACCTTCTTTTGGGGCAAGTCATGAAAACATGTCATCCTTATGAAAGAATATGAGAATGAAAAGATACAAGATTTAATTCATTAACTTATTTATCCATTCAGTAAATGTTGACTTAATGTCTGCTAAATGCATGAAATACATGCAATCTGGGAGTATGTAAAGAGAATTTACACCCTCATAGTGCTCTTGAGGAAATATGACCTCCATGCTAAAGATGGAAAGGTTTGGCACCCCAGGTGACCCTCAAAACTACAGATGTTTCTTTACTTCTCTCTTCTAGTAGCTCATGAGCTTCCTCAAAACTGTGGGTCTCACTTTATCTACATTTAACACACATTAAGAGCTCCTTGACTGCTGAAATAAAATTTAATAAACATCTAGAACAAAAGAAAACAATAAACATTTAATGTAAAATTCACTCTTTGCAGACAGACTGGTTTGATTTACCATTACCCTCCATTTAACAGAGGAGAAACATGTGGAAAGGGCTTAATGAGTTTATAAATCCATAAAAAGGGCATTTTTATACTTTTTCTCTCCCTGGCAGAAGGGTTTCCCCAGTTGGAAGGGGAAAGAAGATAAACAGCAGGCTTGAGTGCTTTTGAAGCTGGACTATCAACAAAGGATCTTCCAAATCAATTCACCACCAGAAACGGATGCAGGCGCTTCTCAGAAATGCCTCACAAAGAAGCTTAGAGAAAGGTTCTGAGGGTGGAAGCAAGAGATATTTCTACCCTGGAGATGGAAAATGAGTAAAGCCAAAAGGCCTTTGCCCGCAATCTTTTCCACAGGGTCAGAAGGAACTGGCAGCACCACAACCATCTCAGCACAGGCAATTCAAAGAGGGTCCAATGCCTTCTCCATGCCCCCAGGGGAGTTTTTCCTCCTATGTATGAACATCAGATTCTGGGCCTCTCTCCTCAGGCTCTCAGCCCTCTGCCAGTCTTAAGCCTGACAGGCAGTGGCCACTTGTAGAGGAACAAGAAGCACTGAAGAGAAGCACCAATTTGAGCATATGCCAGCACCATCTGCAAATTCCACAGACCGACAGGACAGAGGCAGCCTCAAACCCCATTGAATATAAAAAACGAGAATGTCAAAAAGGAGCGACTGACATCAGCTGGACCTCACTGGGCCTCGTATCTAAGGACACTGAGCTGTTTAGGCCCGAAAACATTTTGCCATTCACCTTGCATTCTAAACAAACTGATGTCCCAGCAGATCTGACATTTTAAAAGGCTTTTTGCTGTTTTATTTATTTTTAAGCAGTTTTAGGTTCACAGTACAATTAAGCAAAACTAAATGGCCATTTTAAAATTGGAGTCAACAAATATGCTTGGAGATTCTGTTATGGGCCATGTGCTGGATGAAAATGTTGCAAACAAGACTACATTGTCTCAGTACCAACTTGCTCACAGTAGGTGAGATGGAAAAAGACATGAATAATTGTGAAATAGGATAATAATCATTAGGACAAAAGTAAGCAGAAAATATTACTGTAATAGAGAAAAGAGATTCTTACTGAATGCTGGGGTGTTGAAGTCCTCTGAGTGATGTAGCACTTGAGTAGGGCCACACCAAATGACATAGGCTCCACATCTAGAAAATTTTCAAGAGTAAGTCTTCAGATTGTAGCCTCATAAGCTATACTGCCACAAATAAGATGTTTGAAGAGTGGATTCTCAACACACCTAATGTCACACGTTGATTTTTTCAATCAACTTGAACATTTCTAATGGAGATTAAGTAGCAGATTCTAGTTCTTTTCTTACAAAGATGGCCAAGCCCATTCATTCTGCACTGATGTGTATAGCTGTCCCTCTCAGAAGGGGACCTTCTTATAAATCTTAAGGACCTACCACTGCCAGGCCCTATGTCTTTCTGCAACCCTCCAACACAATTAATTTGAGCCATTTCACTAAGCCTCCCTTTTTCTTCTCAAAGCCAGCCTGGACCTCAGTCCACTAGAGAATTTGGCTTCCCATCTGAATTGTGAACTCCAAGAGGCCAGAAGACACATCTTGAAACACTGTGTGTGTGTAGTGCCTGTGTGTGTGTGTGTGTGTGTGTGTGTGTGTGTGTGTACTGACCATAAACATGGCACTAAGCAACATGGTATGGGTCTCACAGACTCTGTATAAAATTGAGGGAAATAATAGAATGAACCACAGTGGGTCAGTAGAAGCATGATGTGAAATGATGTATGGAATATCCCTAGCATGTAGCATAAATACTCAAAATGTGTTTGCTTTACTAAACGGATTCCCTTCCTGGCTCAGCCTACCAAAGTGTGGGGATTATAAGCATGCACTACACTATGCCTGGTTTGTTATTTAATATTTTTATTGATTATTTCTGGTTCCTAGTCCCTTAATCAATTAAATAATAATAAGTAGATACCTTACTGGGTTATAGCAAGTAAACAAGACAATGCAAGTCAGAACCTAGCATAATGCCTGGTACACACTTATCTTCTCAAATTTAGACAATTAATACTAATGCACTGAGTACTTTTACTTGGCTTAAACTCCAAAGTAAGTGATTCTATACTTTAAAGAAGAGCTAAAACAAATCATCTCTTTTATTTCATAAAAATCCATTCCTGAAAGTAGTTAGTGAGAAGTAAGTGGGAGTTGGAAAGCTATGCTCCATGAGATGAATCTTTATTCGGTCTTTCTTTGATTCACTAGGCAACTTCTGACCACCTATACAACACCACGTGCAAATGGGTAATGTGATGTTTTCTTATGCCAAACATTAAACTTCCCTCTTTTTCTCCAGATCACCTTCCAATCCAGAACATCAAAGGCTAGACCCAGTGAAGACCTTGTCATGATGGGACACACACAGGTGAAAATACCAAAAGAAGTGACCGATTCTTTGAATGCTAACACAGAAAGCAAGTAAGAGAGGAGGATAAGGAGGGAATATATGTTTCCTAGGGCTACAATAAATTATCAATAACTGGGCGCTTACAACGATAGAAATATATTCTCTCACAGAATCAAAGTGAAACCTAGGAGCTCAGAGTCAAGTTGCTGCAGAATCCTACTCCCTCTGAAGGCTCTAGGAAAGAATCCCTCCCTGCCTCTTCCAGTTCTCGGGACTCCCAGCAACCCTTGCCAAACCTTAGTTTGTAGCTGCATCACTCCAGTCTGTGCCCCATCTTCACATGATCTTTCTCCCTGTGTGTCTCATGTAGCTTCTTCTCTTTCTATAATGACACAGGATATAGGATACACCCTACTCCACTATGACCTCATCTTAATGTGTATGAAGAAAAAGACCTATTTCCAAATAAAATTTCATTCATAAGTACCATGAGTTAAGACTTCAACATAACTTTTGACAGAGACACAATTCAACCCACTACAGAGGATGTCTTTAGAGAAAAATTTGGTGATTCGAGAGATCAGATTTACCACTTGGTCCTTCCCTCTTCTTGGTATAGCTACCCATGAAAAAATGTTTGACCTTGGTCCCTCTGAATGTGGGTGCCACCAAGAGATTTAAGGTGCATGAAGAGGATGTTTCCCTCCCCTGGAGTTCCTAGGAAATCTCACAGCCTGCCCACAGATCATTTAGGTAACCAGAGGCATCTGTAACCTGTCCCAGGAGGGTTACACATTTGAAAAGGGGGGGCATATACTCCAACTAGAGAATGGTGGTCCCACAGGTAGGGATGTCAACAAACATTCCCTTTGGTCTTATGAATTTCAAAGGTAGGAAAAAGAGAACACTGCCTGAGAGCCTACTGAGTGTCATTCATCCATTTGTTCATTTATGCATCCTTGCATTCATTCATCCCTATATTCATTTAGAACATAATGGCTCTGGCAACAAGTTTCCTGAATTGAATTTAGATGTTTTCCCTTCTATAAAATGGGAAATAATTATAGTAACTACTCTAAAAGTTTACCTCATGGAAGAAACAATACCTGAAAACAGTGACTGGCACCAACTAAGCACTGATATTGTTACCTACTGCGATGATGATGATGATGATGATGATGATGATGATGATGATGATGATGATAGAGGAAACCTGCACAAAGGTGGAGGGTGGAGATCCATAAACTCCTGCAGATGGAGTGCAGTGAGACAAAACTGTCAAAACAAGCCTTGAATAATTCAGGCTGGCCTGCTGCTTCTGTTACTGGGTTGTTTTAAGACTTGTTTGGCTTTCAAGGGATAAAGATATGTGGCCACTTTCTCTGCACTTTCCAGTTTACATGGGTTAGCCACACACCTACCATTAAACCTGGAAGGGATTTCAGGAGGCCCTCATATTCAGCACCTTTTTTTAAACCATTCTTTCCTAGCCTTGTTCCTCAGTCACCTGTCAATGTGTCATTTCCCTTCCACCTTCCCTCTAATGCATTTGTTAAAAAACAATTTCCAAACTCTGCTTGTTACCAAGAAAGACAATGAGAAAGAAAGAAAGAAAGAAGAGAGCTGGAATATGCTCTTTGAAGAGTCAAAGATTGTAGCGTTTCTCTTTCTAGAGGTTCTGCCTTTGCCTGACATTGAGGTCTGTTTATAAATCTTTAACAGGAGCCAGTGATCCTCTTCTGAAATCTAAACTGCAGACCAGAATCACCTTTGAATGCATTACAGAGGATTTCTTCAGGTTGCATATTTCTCCAGAATTTTAACCAGCAATCTTTTGAGGATTGCTAGTGGAAATGACAGGAGACATGAAATGTGAGAGAATGAGGCTTCCCAGGCCCACACAGTTACCACTTTCCTACTAGGATTGTTTTCTTCTCCACCCTTTTCTCAGGTCAAGCACTTTTTCTGCTCATACCAAGTGACATTCAACCTGACAAAACTAAAGAAGGGCAGTGGGAATAAAGATGGACTTAAAATCCCAGATAAGTGAATTTCAGCAGTTCTGTTTTTCAAAGCATCAAGATATATACCTGGACAATAATATAGAAAGACATTCTTTGTATTGATGATCTACACATGTTCCTGTAAAAACATAGGACGATCCATTATGCCATGTGATGCCATTAGACTCTAAATTATTAAATTATAAAAATAAAAATTTAAGATGGCCACAGACCCACATAATGCCCAATAACAAGTAACCGTGGCTGTAAGAAGTTTCTTCAGGCTGGAGCCTGCTGAGTCTGTCTGCAGCTCATCTTGTTTTTGTGGGTTAAAGGTAACAGAGTCTACACCTGCAAATGCAGGGTCATTCCAGCAGTCATCCTAACTCCTCCAGCCAGCTGATCCCAGATCTGGGCTCTTTTCACACATACAAGAAAGTCCACAGATCTTCCCACCTGGTCATACCCATAGGATGCTGCCTGGTACATGAATATGCCCAGGGATATGCCAGCCAGACAAATTATCTAACATCCCTGAAGAGCAGAGGCCAGGGCCACCTGTACAGGGAACCTGTGATTAGGCAGGTTCCTGACATATCAGAGCAGAGAGACCATGACTTTAGGGGCAGGACCACATACCTTGTTGGCCCAAATTTGCCCTGTCAGCCTGAAGCCTGGGCAAGGACTCTGCTCCCACCAGCTTAAACAAAGTTAAAGGAATTGTAGGGACCTTCGCCACTGCTGAGAGTAATTCAGCAATAGCCTCCCGGCAGGCTGAATCACAATGTGTTCCTTGGGAAATTATATACTTTTAACCTCTAAAACAATATAATTTAAAGGTGAATGTATTTTTCCTCAATAGTTACAGAGCCTCTTATTTCCTCTAAAGATTCTAGGTGGAGGTTATTTTGCTGCCTCTGCATATATATTTAAAGAGATATCTACAATGGACTCACTTCCAAATGTAAGTTTTGATAGAGAGGTATTTAGAATGTTCATGAAAGTAACATTTTTGCACAGGATTTCCTTTTCAGTTAACCCAGTTTTGTAACCAAAGTATACATGCTCATGCTATTTCTCTTAATGACAACAGGATCCTCCTAGACCCTAAGACTGGACAATTTTAACTTATTTAGACTCATACTCTCCATCCTCCTTCTTATCTTCTCAACCAGCCATTCCATCACTGGGTTAGTAAACCAGGTATTGTGGCCTAATTTTCACTGAGGTTTCTTTTGAGTCTATGCTTATGTGATTCCAATATCCTTATATTAAGCAAGATTCTTCCATCCTTGTGCTAGGATCACTGTGTCAGTTCCAATTAAGCTCCTAGATCCCAGGAGCATCCCCACATTATACACTCCTACATATAGCAGACACGATCATCTTCTTTCAATGTTACCCTGCCAGATCACTTTGCTGCTCAAAAAAATCTTCAGTACCTTTTATCCTACGACAGTATTCAGAACCAATATTGTCTGTATCACGTAAGACTATCCCACAAACAAGTTTCACCATGCCCATCCTGCTGCTTACTTGATAGTCTCCAACATATACTCACCATTCCAGCTAAAATAATGTCTTTTTTAGCCCACAAATGCCAAATTCATTCATTTCTTAGTCCTCCATGGCTCATTTGGAATTCTCTTTCATCTTCTCACTTCCTGACTCAATTCCAAGCATTCCCCAATGTTTACCTCTTCTGTAAAGACTTTTTTGACACTGTGCCCTTCTGTTCAAGTACATAGTACATAGGATCAATATCAAATAATTTTGTGCTTCATTGCAAACATTATAGACTGTAATAAGAACACTGTTTTATTGTTTTTTCAGTATACTTTTTTTTCAAATTTCAAGAATTTGGATGTCATAAGTCATCTGT